TATCTGAATCCACCTCCCTGGAGCCACCAGGGCGAACTGCTTAATCCTCGGATTAAAACAAACAGAAACTCATTAAAAACTTTCACCCACACAGCCCAATTACCTTTCAATAGACACTGTGGGGGGGTTCTGTTGTTTTTGTTCGAGCTCGAAGGCGAGAATGGGAAAGCTACAACATTAAAGAGATATCTAAGTGAACTCTAATTTTTTTGACAAATGAGAAGTCAGATAGAGTTAAAAACTCAAGCACAGACTGGACAGAACAGGAACCAAGGTGTGTCAGACTAAGAAATGTCATCTAACCTGCTGGAGGCAGAAGAGGGTCAGTCCCTAAAAGGGCTCCAGGAGAGCTGGAGAGGGATTTTGAACAAGGGCCTGAGGGACAGGACAAGGGGTAATGGAGGGCAGGATTAGATTAGATATCTGAAATAAATTGTTGGCTGTGAGGGTGGGGAGGCCCTGGCACAGGTTGCCCAGAGAAGCTGGGGCTGCCCCATCCCTGGGAGTGTTCAAGGCCAGGCTGGACAGGGCTCTGAGCAACTTGGGATAGTGGAAAATGTCCCTGCTGAGCCCAGCACAGCAGCTGACACAGCTGGAATTCCCTCCCTCCCTCCTCTTCTTCCCTGAGAGCCTTTAATTAGCCCAACACCCTCTTAGCTCTTCACCCCCAAGCTCTCACCTTATTAAGGGCCTGATCACCCTCCCCACCCCTCCCTGCTCAACTCTCAGAGGGGTGTCAGAAAACAAAACAAGTCACCACCACATTTAGCAGCAGAGATGTCATCTTTGGTCAAACACTCGCAGGAGAAGAAAGAAACAAAGAAAAGCTCTGGTTTGATGCAAAATTGTCACACTTTTTTTTTCTTGGTACCATTTTCTGCTACAAAAGAGAATGAGGGATGAACCACCACATCCTGTGAGGAAGATAGAGGTCAATCTGCACCAGAGAGAAAGCAGTTCCTATAAACAAGAGGCAAGACAAAAGTGTGTACCCAAAACATTTAATAATTCATGCTGCATGTGCTTTGTTTTAAACCTTCCCTGCCAATTTAGCTGATATCCAAAGAGCTGGTGAGAAATTATAATATCAGGCTAGTTATCCATGCTGGGTTAAGTGCCTGTTTTATTTACACCTCTGCATCCTAATTTAAATTTTTAACAGGGTTGCAGAGATTTAATGAGGCAGATCTTAATTCATACAGGCAGGGTCCAAATAACAGTCCCCTTCAGAGCAAAAAACACTCTTCCTACCAAAAAAAAAAAAAAAAAAAAAAAAAAAGTTTCCTTATACTGTGACACAGAAGAAAAAAAAATTTAAAGGGGGATTTGAAGGATCTTTCATAAATTTATGTGAATGGTGTGAAAGGTCTGAAATATCCTCTGAAAAATGGCAACCACTGTCTTGACTCCTGAACTACAACACGGCTCAGATGAGGGGGTGTGAGAAGAACAAGTGCAGGGGAAGCAGGGGAAAGGGCAGGGACTGGAGAAAAGGACTGGGAGAACTCTTTTTACCAGAACTGGCTAAGCTACAGCTTCCTAGGAAGGGTAAACTTGAGTACACAGGTCAGCAAAGAGTGATGGGAACTGTTTAAACCCGAAGACAAGTGGCTGTTTTTATAAATCTCACGAAAATGTTAAGGTCACAAAGTCTGAAGCTTCACCCTGGTCCTGCCTTGAGCACAGCAGATGAAGCCAACACAGCCAAGGGTCAGTGAGAAGGTGTCCCCTAAGTGCAGGACACTGGATTTGGGATCCCCAGGGCATGTCCCAGCACCACTGAGGGGCTTTTCCAAAGCCAAATTCTGCATTAGGGGGGGACACACCAGCCAGCCAGGCAGGCATCTGCCACTGCCCTTTCAACCCCTCTATCCTAAAGATCCCAGCTAGGCTGGACATCAGGAAGAATTTCTTCACTGAGAAGGTGGTCGAGCACTGGAACAGGAGCTGCTGGAGTGGCTGTCCCTGCAGGTGATAAAGAAATAACTGGATGTGGCATTTGTGCTGTGGTCCAGCTGACATGGTGATGGTGGGGCAGAGGTCGGTCTCCGTGATCTTGGAAGCATTTTCCAGCCTAAACCGTTCTGTGATACACAAAATAGCTCACACTGGGCCATAAATGCACATGAAACCTCAAGCTCTGCCAGCTGCCTGTTGAGAGGCAGCCTGATTAACTGGAAACACTCCACATTCAAGAGCTACATGGTTAAGTCTCCTCCTCCAGAGTAACTGAATTTAAGTTTCCCAGTTCAGTTACTGACTGTTCCTGCCACCATCAAGAGAGGCAGAGCATCTCCTGCTTTTATCAAAGCTCTAAGCACCCTCCACACCCTGCAATCCACCTGAACTGTGCAAGCAGCTCACCCCCAGCAGCAGCAGCAGCTTAAAGAGGGGCCGTCCCTGCAAGTGCCGAGGGGAAGGTGTGGTTGGAACAAGGTGGTGTTTTTAAGGTCCCTTCCATCCCAAGCCATTCTGTCATTCCCTGGTTCTTTGCTGTCAGGCAGGGTGGTGGCTCACAAGAGCACCAAACCTTATCTGCCAGTGCAGACTGAGGGACCCACCCTCAGCAACAGCCCCACAGTGGTGCTGTGATCCCAGCTGTGATGGGTGGCTGATCCATCACCCCTGGCAGCTGCCTGGTTTGGGTTCACTGCTGGTTTAAGATCGGCACTGAAGGATAACAAGGCCCTCAGGGTTGTCAGGGAGAATGTGTTAACCAACTCTCTGGAGCCAAGAAGCCCTACAGAGAAAGCTGCACTGCTCAACTTTAGTTAGAGAGACATACAAATTCTAGGCACAGAAACAAAATGTATAATCAGTTCTCCCAGACGAGTAAAGCCTTCTCCTCTGCTGTGTCCTGTCCCCATATCCTGTAATCCCTTTATAGGATTTCTCTCACTGGGAAGGGCAAGTAGAACCAATCTCACCACGGAGTCAAGGCAGGAGGATGTTTGTTAACCAGCCCATCTCTCCAGAGTCCACTGGACAGGAGGATAAGCTCATCCAGACACATTTTCAAAGCATCTCCACCTGCCTGCGCAGTTTGATTTTTAAAACTGCTCTGCATCCAAGCCAGGCAGGTGAATCTACAGATGCAATTAAAGCACAGGCAGTTTGGCACAGATGGTCCCCAAGAAACAGAGCAGCAGGGGTTTACATTTAATGATGAGCCAGGCCCTCAGTGAGGCAAAGTCAGCAAGACCCCCCTGAAGGCAGCAGAGCTCACTCAGCTCCTTGCACTTCTTCCAGCAGTGAGCAAGGCACAGCCTCTCCCAAGAGGAGCAAGATCCCTCCTTAGGGACCCAAGCACGTACCTGGAACACCATCCCCCAAAAAACCTGAGCACCCTGGGCTGGAGCTCAGTGCAGCTTTACAGGAATGCACTCCCAAACACCCTGGGATCTGGCAGCATTTGGATATTCTGAGGACAAACACTGGGAAAGGTGTCAGAAAGCAGAGTTGCAGCCCAAAACCCAAAATCTTCCTCTTCGTGCTTAACGGGGGCAGCAGGATCCCCAGGCAGAAAGCTTTTCCCCAAGTGCTAATTGTTCCATTTTACAGGATGGGGATTGGTGATCCCCAGCACCAGGGGAACGTTCTGGCTCACTGCACCAAGGTCTAGGTGGACTAGGAGAGATTTAGACCCCAAAACCTGTGCCAGCTGCCAAACCCCCACAGCACAGACAGCACCACATCCCTTGGCTTGCAGGGCCCTGCAGAGCCAGACCCCAGAGCCAAGAAACCCACAGCCTTCCAACTGAATCATCATCAGCTGGGAGAGCTGGTTCCAGCTACAGCCCACATTTGCCTTTAGAGGAACCCAGAGGAGAGAAACCAGAGCTCAGAAGGAATCCAAGAAAGTTGCACCAGTCCTATATTGGAGCAGAGAGATTTTTTTTTTTTTAAATGCCTGTGCAGAAAGTCTCATTAAATACAGAGTGAGACCAATGCTCAGTTGAAACAGAAATCCCTCTTATCTTCCCCTGCAGAAACCCAGGCTTCTAAAGGAGATCCCAGAGGGCTATAAAACATTTTAGCCTCCTGATTCACACTGCCCTTGCTAAGCAGAGCCTGAAAGATCAGGTTTTCCCCACACACACCCTTCCTTCCCCTGCTGCCACTCTCCCATCAGCACCACATCCTTGCCTTGCCAAGATGCATGCAAGAATCATCCTGGCAAAGGGAAAAGTGCTGCAGTTGGAGTCACAGGAAGCTCAGGGCAGGCTTCAAGGCAGGCAGCAAACGCCTTGCACAGGCAGTGGGGAGGACTCCCAGCTTCAGCTGCCCTCCAAACTGAACAGGAGTGAGAGTTATTGCTTCCTGCAGAGGAAAGATGCTGATGAGATGTTGTCTATGGCACCCCACCTCTACTCAGAGGAGAAATACCATCTGGCAGTGCCACCCCTGGAGGGCTGCCAACCTTTGCAGTAAAATGCGAAGGCAAGAGAAGGTCAAGATGAAGGAAGGGGAGCAGACACAGGCAGGGAGATTAATTCCTGCCAGGTGGTATCAGTCCAGATACTGGAGTACAAAACTGGATGGATGAGCAAGCAGAGAGGAGTTCAAGTAGGAGAAAGAGCAAGAAACAATTCTCTGCAGGGAAATTGTGGATGGGCTGAACTGGTAACAGATCAAAGCTGCAGAGCAGCATCTGCTTCACCTCAGCATCTCTGGGTGGGGGTTACCTGGTCCAGAGGCTCTGCAGTGGATGGACACACCAGCATTACAGGTGTGCAGAGCCAGATTCTGCTGCAACAGCCCTGTTGCTCCCTATCCAAGGGAAAACCCCATCCCTCCCATCACAGCCACTGGAATTCCAGGCATCCTCCATGACACCGTTCACTGCTTGCTTCCTGTGCCTCCTGCCAGAGGACAGGCTGTTTATTGGGAACAATCAGACATGCAGGTAGCAGCGTGCCAAGCAGACAAACTGGGGGCTTGGTGTCAGGGCAGGGGAGCCCCTCCACAGGTGGCTGCCTGACCCTTTTCCTCGGGGGTACCTTCCGACTCCAGGCGGTCCAGCCCGTAGGTCCCGGCCGTGCTGATCCTCCTGGCAGAGGGAAGGGCTGTTCTCCGGGCAGAGGAGGCCATGGATGCTGGAGTGACCAGGACCACAGTCCTGCTGGATGGTTCCTCTGTCTGTCCCGATGGGGTAGAAGGCATCCCACCAGCAGCTGGGGCAGCCTTCTCTCTGGTGAGCAGGATCCCATCCGTGAGATCTGCAGAGGGCGGGGAAACAGCGGCAATAATTCAGCACAACCATATTTAAAACCCCACCACTTAAGAACAAACTCCTTAATGAAACCTTAACTCTGACTGGAAGTTATTAAGATTTTGCTCCCTTCGAGACGTGACTGCGCTGTAATGAAACTTTCTCCTCAAGGACAGCCAGCACAGGAGGTTCCACTTAATGAGGGAGGGAACCCTCAAAGAAAGTTTTAATTCCTTTGCTTTGAGGACACCAGTTGATACCTCAACCAAGTGACAGATCTAATTGTTTATCGCAAAGATTAAAGCCAGCTGAATGTATAATTAAATCCCAGAAGCAAATTAATTAGTGGAAACTGCCAGAAGAACCTTCTCCCTCCTGCAAAGGGACCTGAAATAAAGAGATACAACGCAGGAAGGTTTTATTAATTTTGAGGCCCTGCAATCCAAGAGCTGCCCAGCAGCAGTTTCATTACAGTGGTCCCACTACAGAAACACACTCCAGCTTAGAGCCAGCCTTGTGCTGAGGGCTCCCTTGCTGCACTCCTGTCAGGAATGCAGGCTCCTCCACGTACCTGCCAAGGTGACAGGGAGCCAGCAGGCAACAGCCTGATGAACACGACTGCTCAAAGCATTCCTGAGGAGCTACGACTTGACAAGGACTCCCCAGTCCTCAGCAGAGGGGAGGATCAGTGCAGGCTTTCACACCCAAGGGCTTGCCAGACTCCTGCTAGAAGGTGTCTTTACCCCCCCCACACTGCTCCTGTGTTACCCCGATGAAACATTTTCCTCCCTTGGACTGAGCACCAGCAGCCTGTGACTGCCTTGGGCTCCAGGAGTAAGAGCTCTGCCTCCATAAATAAAAAATGGCTTAAGTGTCTAAAGCTGAAAAGCAGCTCGCTAGCAAGGATAGACAGGAGGGGTTCTGTATGATTTGGGGCAATTTTTTTAATCTCTACTCCACTGATTTGGGGAAAAAACAAAACAAAACAAAAACAACAAAAAAAAAGGCAAAAAAAACCCAACATGTTGGCAAATATCAAAGTGGTGGATCTCCCAGCATGGGCAGAGAGCAGTGGCAGCCCAAGGCTAGAGGAGGCCTGCAGAAGGTTAGAGCAAAAAAAGTCACTTAGAATAAGGGTGCTGATATTGGTTTCAGATGTCCCATCCCACCTCCTGCAGAAGTGAGTGCCTGAAGCAGAATCTTACCTTCAACATCCAGAGTGTTCACCGTGGAGGAAGCGCCAGTTGCCAGCAGCATCTCGGTGGCACTGGGAGCTGTCAGCATCTGGGTGTCCTCCCCACTGTTCTCCTGAGGAAAGCTTGCAGCCCCCGTCCCCTGGGCAGCACCAGGCACCACTGTCACAACTGACAGGCCAGCATCGGCCTCCTGGGCAGCTGTTGTCACCTCCTGAGCAACACCTACAGCAAGAACAAGAGTCAGGACCAACTCACAGGACACATCTGAAGGAATGTAACTCCGTGAATCAACAATTCCAGGGCCACAGCGCCAGAATCAGGTCCAGCCAAGTATCATCAGGGCAGCTTGGAGTGACCAGCCCTCACAGCTACGAGACCTGAGCTCTGCAGAAGGGCTTATTTTTGTTGCACAAGTCTTATTGACAGACAGTGTTGTTTTCCCATCAGCTGGGAAGCAGCGGAGATGGAACCTGCTGACAAGTCAAGTGCTTACAAATTAATCTAGAAATTAATCAGTCAGGTTTCAGCACCAGGCTGCAATTAGCCTTTCTCCTTTTACAGCAGAAACTAGGCCTTTTAGATGCAGTGAAGGGAAACAGTCCTTTTGCATCTGTAGCCTGGGATGGAAGATTAAAGATGCCCAGCAATTAAGAATCCTAAGCCCCAACTCATGTTCCATCACCAGCCTAGAAAGATCTGACTGCCCAACACTTCACCAGGCTTTTTTTAGCATCTCCCTGTGTTTTAAACCTTTTGCTTTACGTTTTAGATAATAAGCAGAAACACTGTCAGAAGGTTGTCCAGGAGGAAGAATCCTGCCTGGTGACAGAGCTGGCACAAGCACTGGGCAGCCAGAGCCTGGCCACAGCTTCACTCCAGGCTGGGGAGACAACAGCAGGACAGCAGCTCTCTGGACAGGCCTTTCCAACTGAGCGTTCTTGGAGAGTCATTTAAGACATCAGGTGCCCTGAGGCTACTGGTACAACTCACCCATTCCAGGATTTTGGAAGCATTTACAGCCATCTGTTGCCTCTGCATCTTCTGCACTGACTGCAAGTGAGACCCAAGTGATCCCAGATGCCAATTAATTTAACTCCCCCCCCCGAATCTTTTGGTTCCCATCAAAGGGATTGTTGGGGGAATGTTTTCACCCTTGAAATAAAGTGTTTTATCAGTGGGTCAGAGGCTGGGGTCCCTCCCTACCCACAGATGGTAGAGGGTTATTCAGTGACAATTTACCTACCTCTGGTCAAGGCAAGATGCCTACAACCAGACTACAGCTGTCCACACTCCAGCACCAAACCCAAAGAACATTACCAAAGGGAGTTTGTCAATTAGCAAGTCTCCACTGATGAGATTCCAGCTCTGCACTCCACATCCCTCAGCCCCAGCCTTCCCAGTCTCAGCTTTCCTATTTGTTCCCACAACCACCCTCCCAGCCTGAGGAGCAGAAGGAGCAGCTCAGCTGCTTCACTCCCAGCCAGGACAAGGCACCACCCAAAGCCTGAGCCAACCTGTGCACAGGGAATCACGCACACAAACAGCCAGGGTTCTGCAGTATCTTATGGATGGGGACTACCCATTTAGGCTCTTAGCCCTACACAAGCCCCACAGCCTTTCCTGAGAGGAAAAAGACACATTCTCTCTCTATTGCAGGTATCAAGGTCACACCTTTTCCCACTCTAATGCCCTGCAAGGAAGCCCCAATTCCCAAGAGCACCCCTCTCAAACCTACACTTAGAGGCAAGTGTCTGCAACAGGCAAGTTTTACCTTCCCATGAACTTTCCAGAGTAGGGGAGAGCTCAGGCTGTGTCTCTGTCCCCACAGCAGCCCCTGACAGTGATGCCAGGCTGCTTTTCTCCTCCTCTGCTGGGACTGCACTTGTGCTCTCCAGTGAGTCCAGACCAGCCGTGTCTCCATCCGTCACATTCCCAGGGTGGGAAGCACCACTGGTGCCTGTGGAAGTTGCTGGCAGCTCCTCCTCCTGCACTGGCACTGTGCAGTTGGTCTCCTTGGCAAGCTCAGGCTCTGGTGGAGGGAACACCGGGGATGGCAGTTCTCTTGTTGCATCTTCTTCCTCCCCCACACCTCCCTGTGGGGTCTGGGATGGTTTTGTCGTCCCCAGGTCCTCTGTCACCTCCTCATGAGACGTGCTTCCCCCTTGACTGACGTCCCCCAGCTTTGTGTCATCCCAGTCAGGTGGCAGAGTGTCTGCAGGGTGGATGGTGACAGTGCCAGCCGTGGGGGGCAGCTCTTCCTGTGTGACCCCTGTCCCTGTTTCTGGGGGAAGGGGGGCCTCGGTCACCATGGGGGGACGTTTGGCAGCCACAGACACGGGTGGAGCCAGGGATTTCAGAGGGCTCCCCGTGCGACCTCTCAGCATTCCCACCTCAGGGGTCACACCGGGAGCCTGGGGAGTTGGGATAACAGGGCGCTCACTTGCTGTTTCCCAGCTGGGAGAGCTGGGGCTCAGCGTGGGCTGGGGCTCAGCTGAGGGGTGTGAGCTGCTCTCTGCCTCCTCCTGCTCCTCCACAGTGGTCCCAGGAAGGTGGGGGTTTGCTGAGGGGCTGGCAGAGCTTTGCTCTACTGCCACACCACCCTCTGTGGTGACCTCGCCGATGGGGCCACCAGCAGACTCCTCCTGGACAGGGGGGCTCAGCGTGGTCACAGCCGTGGTCAGCATGGCCTTGAGGGCATCATCCTCTTCCAGCTCTGACATGGTGGGACCAAGATCCTCCTCACTCACAGCAGCCACTGCCCCAGCAGAGGGCTGGTCACCCAGGGCCTGGGTGCTGGGGCTGACATGGCTGGGGCTCACAGGGAGCACTTCTTCTGCAGTGAGAGCTTCATTCAGGGGTGTCCCAGACGGCCCTGCTGACACTCCACATGGCTCTTCAGAAACCGTCTGCTCAGAAGGGCCCAAGGTGTTTTTCAAGTCCACCACGCCTGTCCTTTCATCTTCCAGCCCATTTCCTGCCCAGGGGCCTTGCTGGACCTTTGTCATGTCCCCCTCGTCCAGGGGCTGAGATGCAAGGCATGGCAGGCTGGAGGACAAGAGCAGGATGCTGCAGGTGACCAAACAGATGTTAAATCCTACTGATCTCCCCATGGCTGAGAAGAGATGTGTCCAGGAGCCTGCGAGGCTGACAAATCCGAAGTGCAAGACCTGGGAAGGCAAAAAGGAACCAAGATTACACATACACAACCACCCACTGACCCAGGGCCTTATAAAACCGGGTGACAAGTGTCAAGCTTTTGGCCAGTTGTGAGCAGACACCTCCTGTGTATCCCAAGCAATTAACTCCTCCATCTGTTTTATGGTTCCTAGTCCACTCTATGTGAAGATGACAGGTAAAACCACGATCTGAAGCCCAAGACAGACCTTGCCTAGCTCTCATCCCAGCAGTGGAGTGCTGTGCTCCACCCAGCAGGCACCAGACTTGTAAGCAGTGGTGAGGATCAACTTGTGTGTCCTTTGTGATGCTTGTCAGGGCCATGAAGTCTCAGGCTTGTTCTGGCCAGTCCTGTTCTGTGCACGGACACGGGAGGGGACCAGGGAACTTGCACAGAGAACAAGATGGGTCTGTGAAGCTCAACTCAGGACTGGAGCCACCACAAGAGGCTTTAGGGTTGCATCAGTGCCAGGTCCTACCTGGGGCCCTTGGCCTCACAGAGCAAACTACAGCCCAGAGCAGCAGCAGCGCTGCATCAGCACGGTGCCTGTGCTGCACTGCACCAGGGAGGCACTTCCAGAAAGTTTCATGGCTATGAGCACCGTGCAAGTCAAGAGTTTCCAGGAGAGCACTGAACCAGGATCCCAGCAGTGATCCAGCCAGCTGACAGCCTGCTCTTGGCAGGCTCTGCTGCCTTCACTCACACAGCTCCAGCAGCAGGACAGACAGACCAGGGCCTGCTCCCAGACACCTCCCCCAGGCAGGTGTCCCTCAGTCCTGGGCTTGTTGCACCACCACCCCACAGCAGAGACCACCCCAGCCACGGTCCCACTCATCCCATGGAGAACATCCCAGCCTCAGGCACACAGCAGGCCATCACAAAGTCCCCATCACACAGCAGATCTGCTGTGGTCCCTCTTCCTCCTCCTTCCAGCTCCTGGAGGCAGCTTGTCAGCGGTGGAGTTAAGCCCTACTGCAGGAAGCCTCCAACCATCAACAGCTTCCCTCGTTTTCTCTAGTACGTTCTTCCAGTCCTGCATCCAAATCTGGGGGGCCCCAACATGAGGAACACTGACCTGTCAGAATGAGTCCAGAGAAGAGCACAGGGCTGGAGCACCTCTCCTATGGAGACAGGCTGAGAAACTTGGGGCTGTCCAGACTGGAGAAGAGAAGGCTCTGGGGAAACCTTAGAGCACCTTCCAGTGCCTAAAGGGGCTCCAGGAGAGTGACTTTGGACAAGTGGAAATAGCCTTAAACTGAAGGAGGGCAGGTTTAGATTAGACATTAGAGATCAGTTCTTGCCTGTGAGAGGAGGGTGGGGAGGCCCTGGCACAGGCTGCCCAGAGAAGCTGTGGCTGCCCCATCCCTGGAAGTGTCCAAAGCCAGGTTGGACAGAGCTTGGAACAACCTGGGCTAGTGGAAGGTGTCCCTGTCCATGGAATAGGATGATTCTATGGCTCGCAAGCGAACTACAGGAATAACAAATACCATTTGGGAAAGCTGCTGGGGTTGTGATTCACCTCTCACAGAGTTCCAAAGAAGAGCAAAGATTCCCCTGTGCAGTCCTGCTCACGGGCACCAGGATGAGTCCCCCAGTTTGCCACACTCCTCATTTCCCCCTCCAAACAGCTTGTTGACAGGTATCACACTTGCATTTGCACACACAGAGAGCAGCAGCACAGCTCAGAGTCAACCACTGCAGGCTCCAGCATCTGCTGAGCCCTCAGGGCACACTGAGTCACTTTTTCCACTCTCCCTGCAGCCCCGACCCAGCAGTTTGAGCTGCTGGACTGATTCTCCATCACAGGCCACACACAGGCACCAGGTGCTCAGGGACAAGCAGAAGCCACCAGAAGCTGTTTACCAGCGTAGATACCTTTCCACTTTGTTTTTAGCACTTTCTTCCTCTGAAAGATGGGTGGCCATCCATCTATCTCCTCTATCCATCCTGCCAAAAAATAGTTGAAAACTGACAATATTGAGCTCTTCTTTCACACTAATTCCTTATAGATTTTGTAATTAAAAAGCACTGAGGGTGTATTATGCAGGTTAAACTGTTAGGGCCCAACTACAGGCATCTGCCTTGCCACGCTGCTGAATATAAATCATGTTCACCTCACACCTCTTTAGCAAATGCCTGTTAGCATCAAGAAGTTGGTTGTTTTTTTTTTTTTTTCCTGTTTCCAAAAGAGTTTGGCTCTAAATACATTTTCTCAAGAAGCCAGGAGTCCTCAAGGCTGCACAAACCCTTTCAGCAGTGGTTAAACCTAAGCAGAACTCCAGCTGCACTTGAAAAAAACAGCCCTAGCATTTTTCTTGCAGTCAGACACATTACGCATATGTATACACACATCTGTACAGGTAATTAGTAGGTTTGCAGCTCTAGGTTTTCCAACAGCCCAAGACATTCAGGAGGTGGTTAGCAGAAGAACTAAAATGTTCATCTCTTCCCAGCAAGCTCACTCCATCTTTACTAGAATCAGGAGTGTCAGTGGATCAGAGGGAAAGCTGCTCCCTAAACCGCTGGCTTTTAGAGATCCATTAATTAAAATGTAAAGAACCCTGTTAAGAGCCTTTCCTCCTTCTGGGCTGGTAGATACGTGGGCAGTCAGTACCAGCCTGATACAATAATTCCTGAAGTCCTTTGGGCAGCCTCACATTGTTCCTCCCAGTCTAAAAAAAAAAAACACTTTTGGTCATAATCCTACATTTCTATGGGGCAAAAAAAAAATAATATTGCAGAGTTATTTGCTCAGGAAATCCACAACGAGGAGATCTAAGCTAACCTAAACCTTTACATCCAGTGAAAGCGGGAGATAGTGGCACGGTGCTTGCTGCAGGATAATGGCACGAGTTCACACTTCAGAGAAGATTAGTCAGAGCTTAAGATCTACTTAGCTTTAGGAAGAGGCTGGATTAGGCAGTGTGTGAACAGCAGTGACCCGGCTATCTCCTTAAGCAGAGTTTGACACCTCGCTGCAGCACTTGCACTCAATGCAGGCTCCAGCAGGTACCTGGCTGCAGAGCACTCTGTTACTCGAGCTGCATTGAGGAACACATTTATCCTCCCATCTGGCTATTTTTACAGTCAGCCTGCTCTCCAGCCTTAGCCAAGCAAAAAAAAAGCAGGCTGGAGCAAACTGCCCCGAGCGAGCACCCCCTCTGTACTGAGCCTCAACTTCTTTCATTACCAACTCGCAATTTTCACGCCGCAGGAACTCCCTGTCCCCAGCTCTCACCTGGCACCCCACGAGCAGAAGCCCTGGAGGGCACAGCTGCCAAAGCTCTCTCAGTGGAAAACTAATCCTGGCTTCCAATAGGAAGCACGCAGCGAGGGTGAGAGGCAGTGCCAGCTACTTCCCCTGCACTTCATAACAACAAATCCCAGGAGATGCAGCTCCCCTGGCCGCAAAGGCAGCACGGCTGAAGGCAGCCAGGGAGCTTCACCTTCAGCAGGCAAATTAACAAGTTTTCTTTTAACACCTGGTAGGCTGGAAAGAAACACAAAGGACTGCCGGGCTGGAAGCAGGGGCCAAAACTCCATCAGAAGTAATTTATTACCGTGGGCAAGTCGGGAAGCTGAGGGACTATAAATATGAATGGGTCACCAGCTGAAGCGGTCCTGCACACTCAGTTGGATCTTTCTGAGCCAGGCTGCTCCCCCTGCTCCACACAATTAGCACTGGCGGTAGTTCTTAAATCATTAGCCCCCTCTGTGAGTTCTGGAGACCTGTCTGAGGTCAGCTCTTAGGCAGCCTCACAAAAGCCGGCTCAGAGAGAACCCCAGCTTGTTACGGTCACTCCAACAGCGCAGGTTTGCAGGGCACCAGCACAGAGCAGAGCAGATGTCTCTGCTTCAATAGCTGCTCCTTGCATGGACCAGTGGTTTGTGGGCACATGCTGCAAAGGATTAAACTCCCCCCCTCTGTCCCCTCTCTCCCAGCTACTCCCTCAGAGGGCTTTTTAGACTTTCACCCCTGTCAAGTTTACTTAACTAAACCACCCCACCCACCTCCCAAAAACCCCATTTGATGTTATTTTCTGCCTTTGGCAAGTTTTGGCTGTTCTGCCCTGAATTGTTGAAACAGGAGAAAAAAAAAAAAGGCATCAAGTTTTTAACTCACTGAATTATAACCCTATTCCAGCAATCCCTCTCCCACACTGAGGAGACACTGGGATGGTAAAGTGGCTGCATGCATCATAAAGCAGAGAGTGCAGGAGATGAACAGGTCAGCCCCAGACAAATCACTGTCTTGCCTTGGAACAGAGCTTCTCACACCTCCAAGCACCAGCTTGATGTCAGCCCTGCCTGGGTGTGCTCAGCTCCACAATTCACCTGACAATCGATACGGGAACTGGCCAAAAAAAAAAAACCCTCGCAAGTCTTTTCATGCGAAGATTTAGCCAAAACATACAACTCCAGCAACTGCCAGCCATCAGTGCTAATGTATGCAATCCAAGCCTCATTACTTGTGCTGAATACAAAAGCCAGCAGATAATACACTGCGGAGCTCCAACTCCTACTTTCTCGCACGCAAGCCGGGAAAAAATGCCTTCACTTCATCCTGCATTGTGCCCTTGCCCAGTTCAACCGAGTGAATTGGGAGAGCTGATGCTCTTACAGCACATACTTTAGATAAACAGACTCCACCAGATAAGGCACCTCCAAGAGCTCAGTGAAATCCCAACAGTGACACAACTCGACGCCAACACAAAGTCGGGTGAGAAAAATCATGTCAAGACAAGCACACACCAGAGGGGCACATCCTCCCCTACCACTGAGGAATGGTCCTTACAAGCAAACAAATGAGATATATTAATATTCTGTAAGACCACCTTCCCACCAGTCCTAGTGAGGCACCTTAATACATAATACATCACCTCCACTTCCAGCCTCGGCATTCCAGCAGTAGTTCTTTGAGGAGCCAGAGACATGACATGTTTTAGGCATTATTCCCCCCACCACGAAGCCGATCCCTCGCTTTGTTCAGAGCAGCACACACAGACCACCTATGGAAATCCCTCCTCGGATTTGTCAGCAAAAGCTGCATAGTTCTCCGTGCCTTCTGACCCGTGCCAGGTCCCCGGCACCACAGAAGTCGAAGGTCTACCGAAATTCCTGAGGGATTAAGACTGGGAGGAGGAAGGGGGGGCTTAAGAATGAGGCCAAAGGGTGCAAGCGGTTTTTCAAGCAGCAGGATGGAAACGCTGCTCTCCAGCCTGCCTGCGAGCAGAGGGGTAACACTCAGATTCCAATCAGCAAGAAACGCTCCGGAATTTCAGCGCCTCACCTAAACACAGACAGCAACACCTCACAGGAGAGCTGAAGGATCATGAGTCTCTGCAGGTGAAGGTTTAAGAGTAGATTAAATACACCTTGTCAGGCCCTTTTACCGCGGGTAGGACCTGCGTGGGATGCAGGGAGTGGGATCAGGGCTGGCTCAAGGCTCCATGACACGCCAGCACGCCGGCTTGCGGGGCACAGATCCATCTCCCCGTCCTCCTCAGCCACACTGCCAGGTGAGCTTACAGCCCCAGAAGTGCATCCTTTCCCCACACGGCAAGGGATCCAGGGGGAACAACCTCCCCGGGATCCCTCCAGCCCAGGCCCGCAGCAGGACGGGAGGGACAGCAGCGGTCACCCCTAAACCACCCCGCGGAGAAAACACACACCCAACCCCAACAAAAGATTTCCCGAGGGAGCCCACCGGGACCCCCATCCCGGCAGGACGCCAACCCCGCCACCCCCGCTTTCCCTTTTTTTCCTCCCCCCATTCCCATCCCCCGGGGCTGCAGGGACCAGCCGCTCGCCGGGAACAAAGAGCCGCGCCGAGGATGCGCTGCCCCGCGGGCAGCCGAGCATCGCCGGCAAACAATAAAAACCAATTAAAAAAAAAAAAAACCAAACACGAACAAACACAGGGCGAAGCCAGCCCGGGGGCGGGATGCTGGTTGTGTGTGCGGGGGGGGATGTCCCGGCCTCACCTGGGTCCCGGCGGTTCCCGGCGCCGCTGCCCCAGCCCCGCGGCCGCCCGGGCGGAGCGGAGCCCGGCCCACCCGGCGGGCGGTGTCGGGGGCTGTGCCGGGCTGGTCCGCCCCGCCCGACCGCCGGCCCCCGCCTGCCCACGGTGGGCTCCGTGCTCCCCGAGGCCCGCAGCACCCGTGGGAGGCCGCCCGCAGCGCGGTTTTCCCTTTACTTTTCCATTGACTTTGGAGCATCCAAGCCCTCAGACCTTTCCGCCCCCCCCCCCTTCCCTCAGCATCCAACTCTTCCTCGCAGCCTGACCCGGCGGGTTCCCCCCTCTCTTTTGCTTGCAAGGAGCTGTGAAAACAAGGCCTGCAGCACCCTTAGTAGTTCTCCACCTATTAGAGATTCTCCTCCAGTGTTTTCGGCTGCAGAGGTCACCTTCCCCCCCACACTCCCTCTGCACAGCAGAAAGACTTCTAAAATAGCCTTAAATGACATCCCACGCGTGTATTAGGAAGGCTTAATTCAGTTTCCTTTTGTTTGTTGCTTTGTTATAAGCACCTATTTGTGCAAGGAGAAAGAAAAGTAAACAATTTTACTAGTGTTTTCCTCCTCCCGCCTGCCAGAAATCCCCTAACCATCAACAGGAAAAGAAAACCCTTGCACCCTCAGGCCCTGGCTCACCCGTCAACCCACTTTGTCAAAGAGCAGCTCAGCAATTCATACCTTGACTCCAAAAACAAACAAACAAATAATCACAAAAATAGACCAGCGAAGCTTCCTTTTGCTTCCCCCAAGCCTGTTGTGAGAGACACCACGAGCTCTCAGCACCACACTCGGGGTTTTATAGGGCGGTGACTCATTCAGAGCGGGGCTGCAGCAGGTGCAAAGCGTTTGTGCTGGGCAGGGGACAGGTGAGAGGAGACCAAAAATAACGAGCTTTCGTTGAGGTGAGATTTTGGGGGTGGAATTGGCCGGAGGGAATAGAGGAAAGGTATAGGAGAGGGGAGTTGAAATCTTGGCTTTGTTATGAACGTGCTCTGGCACACGAAGCAAATCAGTGAATTCTCCAGATAAAATAAAACACTACAAAATAAACTCCTTTTTTTTTTTTCTTTTTTTTTTTTTCCCTAGACAAAGGGAGATGTAACTTGCTGGTACGTGTCACTCAGCTCTTTAAATTAACAAGATAATTGATCAAAGAAAATGAGATATTCCTCATCAAGAAATCGTTCTTTTTTTTTTCTGTTTGCTACCAGAAACAACATTTATATTAGTTTATTTATATTAGCTAAACACTCCCCAAGGTTTTACCTCTTCAATTTTAAGGAAATGGTGTGTTTTCTGCTGGATTTCAACCAAACTGGACCCAGCCCAACTCATTTGATTGTAGCATTGTGCATCCAATATTAAAAGTTTCAAAAGACAGATTTGTTGCGGGTCAGGGCAATTTTTTTTTCAGGGTAATATTGCTAAGCTGTGCATGAGATGAAAATAAAGTGTCAAAGCGCCTGTATCAGCAGTAAAGACAATCACTGGCAAAAGGCATGAGAAGGAACTTCAGAGTTAGGTTTGATGGAGCAAACAGTCCGACAAAATGTTGGGAAAAGTCGCTTCTGGCTTTGCCTCTATGTGTTCTAAAATCTGAGGAAATTATTCATTACTCAGTATTTTCAGTGCTGCACCAGCTTTTGAAATAAAATACAGATATGTGAAAAGAAAGGAAGTTTACTCTTCTCCTCTAAGGGGGAAGGGGCAGGGGGAAGGAAGAGGTAAAAGCTGCATTTTTGGGGCCATTTTAAACACTCTTAAGTCCCGGATTAGGGAGGTTCAGCTTCTCAGCAGGTTCAGCTCCTGTTCTGGCCGTTTCATTTTGGCCAAGGGTTCTGGCTGAGCAGAGGGAATGGAGGTGCCACTTCTGAAGCTGATGGTGCAGCCAGATTGTGCAGGGAACCAAAATCAATGAGGGCTTATTTTCCAGCACAGCTGGACATTGTGGCGGGTCTGGGATTGATTCCCAAGCTGTTCAGTCATCCATGTGCAGGGAGAGGGGCCTTGGGCAGTGAGTCCACCAGGCTCGAGGAGCCAGAGGCTTGGCTTCAGCAGCTGCACAATCCACTCCTAACAGCTGACCTGGGATCCAGATTTTCTAGAGGAAGATGTCCCTGCCCATGGCAGGGCCTTTGTAATCTTTAAGGGCCCACTCCAAGCCAAACCAGTCCATGATTCCATGTTATTGTTTTCAACCCCTTTTCTATCTAACCCTTAAAATTATTTACTTAAAATGTAAAGCATGTGTAAGGGATGCTCTGCTGTTCTCTAAGGGTGCAGAGCACTTAAAAGAACGGAGTGGTTTTCACTTCCCTCTTGACTCTGAACCCAGATTGGAGTCGTGTCCTCTCAAGGTTATATATTTCACTGATAATCACTGTGACCAAAATAGCTGGTTATTTGTGTTTTCTTTCCTGCCTAAAATTCCATATTCCCCGTACGCTGCAAGTTTCTCTACCCCGCATAACCTGCCAAAATCAGAGGCTTCTGCGCTATCAACAGAAATATCTGCAGACTTAAAAAAGGAGGTGTGATGGAAGCAGCAGAAATCAGAAATCACCAGAGAGCACTCTTATGTTATTCATTTCTATGGTTTAGTAATTGGAAATACTGATTTTTAACTCAGATGAGTGTTCAGAGAGCTTATCAATAACCAAACAAAACCGGCCCACAGCAAGTTAAGGAACTTCCATTCCTTTCTCTTCTTACCCTGGCTCTGGTTTGAGACATTTCTGTGCAATCCTCTGTTGGTCTTATCCTTTAAGATCTCTTACCTCAGGTGAATTCAGGGACTAAATTCAGATGTAAGCTGGTTTATTCTTCCATGCGGGTCGTGTAGCTGGGAAGGAGTCGGAATCATGTCCCATTCCCAGCTCTGCCACACTGGAAGACTTCCAAAACTGAGCTTCACCACTCTCTGCCTCCACTTCCCCTTCTGTAAAATGGAAATAACCTAATTTTTGTAAGAGCCCCTTATAAAATCTGTGTATTGTTATAACAGCAGACTGTTGTGCAAAGGAATAACACATCAGCTTTCTTTGAAAGGTGATATTCCTGTCACACCCTTATTGCACAAACCAGAAAGTTTGTCCTAATTAAGAGACAGGGTCACATAAAAATTTATATGAAGGCACATTTTGCCTGTATAAATTTAACTTAAATAAAAACAACAAAAAAAATCATCCTGACATCAGAATGTTGCACCTCATGCTGCTACTCCTGGCACCTGTGCTGAGATGCATCAGCTCTCCTAAGTATGTCAGGACACGCCACAGAAGGTAAAGGCAATTTTAAAATAGTTACCGTTAATTTTGCTGCTGAATGACTTTCCCGGAGTGAATATTTGGGACATCCAGCACACACATCAGTGCACATCCCCATCCCACCGTTCACCTTTATTACCAGCTGGTAGCATCTGTTTTAAGGGGCCTGCTCTTCCCACTGGAATGGAGTAGCAATGAGTCTGATTCAGGGGAAGTGAGAACAGCACAGAGAGGAAAACTTGTTCAAAACAAGTCCACTTTGAAAAAGGTGTCAGGCAGTTTGTGGCCAGTGAATTATTTCAAAGGTAATCATGTTACAGATGGACAGATGTCTTTTTCCTCCGACTGCAAACTTAATAAATTCCATCTGCAATGAAATCTCAACCAGGAGAACCAACATGTTCCTCACTGCTGGCACTCAAAGGAAAGCTGGGCAAGGCCGAGAGATGCCAGTAGAGCCTTACTGTTGCCAGGGATTCACAGCAATCAGTCCTACAAGGGGGCACAGGATCCAGCCTCTGCTTCCCCAGCTCTCGTGATTCTGAAGTGCCCGCAGAGCAGGAAAGCAGTAAAAACTTATTTTTGTCACTGAAGTCAGCAGATGTGGCTTGGAGAGCACACAGAGAGCAGATCTGCTGAGTAGGAAATGCCATTTTTACACACTCACTCTCCAGGGTAGAGCCAGGCTCCTGCTGACTGCTCCAAGGTCACCGGAATCAGTTTTGCAGTGGCTCTGGGAATACAGCCCGGGAGGGCCAGTGCTCCCCTCCAAAACTGAATCACTGCACACCCCTCACTCTCCTTCATATCCCTCAGCAAAATCAATGCATTTCATATCCAGGTACACCACATATTACAATTTTCCCAGAGCTGAAGTGCTGAGGAAGCCATCCCCGTGCATATTGGAGTCTCAGCTAAAACATCAACCATCTATCAACTCCCTGTAGTGCCTGGATATTTTTTCGCCCCTGTCCTACATATTCCAACACAAAATTAGGCTGACAATTAAAAAAGCACTTGACCCACCACCCCAGAGCAGGATAACTCCAAGCCCTGTCCTGACATTAAACCCTCAGCTTCTCCAGCATCTGAAATACAGTTGTTCACTTAATACAGGGACTTTGAAAACTTCAGCTCTCCTTTGCTTCTCAAAACTTGAAGTTAAACTGAACCCACAAGTTTTAAAGAAGTGCAGTGACAGTACTGCTACTCCATCCCTCACAGTACAGTCCTTTCTAAAATAGAATAGAGGGCATGAAAGACCCCACTGTGGGGACATTTGGGGTCTTTTCCCAATACATGTGGTATTGGGACATCTGGGTGGGAAGTGCACGGTGTTCTGGTGTGAATCAGTGATGCTCTCCAGCCAGACACCACCGGTGTTTTCATTATTCCCCTGTGGAGGGACTTTTAGGTCAGTCCAGAAAACTTTGGGGATGGTTTTAAGCATAGAAATACACATTTTTGTGCTGGAAATATTCAAATCTATTAAGCTGAAATCCGACAGCAGGAACCAGACCCACCTGTGAACACAACCCCAAGCAGTTGGGCTTTCTTCCTCTTCTCTCAGAGAGCTGATAAGTGGGTCCTCTGGAATCCATGCACCGGAAAAAAGTTGAGGAAATACTCAGCAGCTCTTTTATTAGGTCTAAAGCTGGCCCTAAGTATCCAACTCCCTGATTTTGTGAGGAAAAAAAATGGGTCTGTGCCTCAACAAGCCTGTACACAGAGATTAGGGAGGC